GTCTAACAAGTTCCCAGGTGATGCCGACTCTGCTGGTCCAAGGTCTCCATTCTGAAAAGCACACCCCAAAGAAGGCAGCCTAATAGACGCTGGGTTTGGATTCTCATTCAACCTAGTTTTTAGAGGAAATTCCTTTCCTATGTAGCATGAATCTATATTCTTGCTTTAGAACACTGTCCCCTATACCCACTATTCATATTCTCCACTAAGCCCCATTGTGCAAGCTGGTTTCCGGAATTTCTATGCATAAAGCCCATTTCTCACATCAGGGTTTGTGATAAGCACTAGATAAAATTATGGTACTTTTCTTTCACTTTTTTAATGCTTAAAGTTTTTTTTTATTTGTGGGTTTTTTTCCCTTCAAATTTTACTGTTAAAGGGAACTCTGAACCTGTCTCTTTAGTAACCATAAGTATTATACATTGAGCTTAAGAGTTCTAGGATTCTGAGTAAGGTAAGAAAGCAGAGATTGGAATTTGTGAGAGATACATATATATAGATAGATATAGATAGATATAAAATCTATATAGCTATATACCTATATCTATATCTATATATATATATAAAACATCATTTTATTTTCTTCAAATACAACCTACCCAAGTCTCTTATCTGAGTTGGTTTTAAAAAGCTATTTTGTGTGACAAATTGTATCCAATTTTTTCTTGCACCCTGTAGATATTTTTTCATGGACTGATGAACAGAGGATAGGATCTGTTATAGAAATTAAATAGTGTAGTGGGTAAAAGCATGAGCTGTGCTGACAGAGATACTTCGGTTCAACTTTCAGCTCTGTTCCTTCATAAATAAGGGGTGACCTCAGGCAAGTTCATTCTTCCTCTCTGAGCCTCAGTTTTTTTTCACCAAATAACAGAGATAATGCCTGCGGTTTGGGCTGTAGTGAGGGCTGACTTAGGTGATGTTCGTAATAATAAGCAGTGTAAATAGAATCTATTACTGTTTCTTAAAAAGGATCCTTTTCCCAAACATTTCAGCCCCCTTGACACCCTCCCCCCAATTTTATAGTTTAAAAAGAAAACATTCTCGGTGGAAAACTAGAGAAAAAAAATTAATTTGCACATACTGGATATTACAGGAAGGTGCTATTAACAAACTACAAGGTTTTCACCTGTTACGATAAAGTGGCTGTGTTTGTTTACTGTTTACTCCTATTTCAGTGGTGTTTGCCCGAATCAACCTTAGCTAAGAGAAGTTATACAGTTCAAATAAATATCAGAGGACTGGAGAGGACTTTTCTCCAGCCAAGTAGACAGTGTTAGAATGCTGGGTTAACATCAATACACATGAAAACATTTGGATAACATCTCTCCCTATAAACACAGGATATTCGTGGTATAAAAGTATTTGCAGTTTAGATGAGACAAACCTGGCAAACATATACATATATGCACTGAAATACAGAAAAACTATTTGTGCCAATTTTGAACAGTTTTTATTATTTAAATGCAGTTTGTAACATTATACCTCTCAGGTTTTAGTTCTGTGTCATGTGAACCTAAATGAATCTGTTCAGATGAGGCATAGACAACAAAAGAAAGTGACTCTGGTTCACGTAAGACAAAACCAGATGTGTGTGTTGGGAGGGCCGAAGAACGAAACTGGCAGGTACGGTGTGGCTCACTGAGTTAAAGAAGGTGGATGAAACAGGCCAGGAGGGAACAAGAAGCAGAAGAACTCAGGCAGCCTGATCAGCAGGCTGACTGTCTCCTGGGTGCCAACTGCTTCTCCATCTGTGAGTCACTGCTCAAGAGAGAAGGGTCCCTCCCTCATGTCTGGCTCAGGTCAAGAACTTATCTATTGTTAGGGGAGAGCAAGGAGCCTTGATTGACAGTTCTACCTATGCTGCTGCATACAATTTGTGGCGGTCAGGGGGACTTCCTCCACCCCCCAAGATAGCCTGCTGTTACCACACATGAAAGGAATGGATGCAAAAAGCAGTGTACAAAAAGCCCATCAATAAATTTGTTTATATCTGTTCACATACCATGTTCATTTACCTTAAAAGAAAAAATGCCATAGGCTTAGAATAACAGCCAAAAGCATCTTAAAAATGCAACTTTGGTCCTCAACTTTTCCAAATTCTTAAGCCACCATGCTATGCACATTAAATATTAACTGTTAGATTATTCAATGTAAATATCCAAGATGGCAAGATAAAACTTATTAAAAGGAATAATGTTCATTTGAAAGGTTAATTTATTCGCATCCAATGCAATGGCTATTTTGGTGTTCACTTTTAACAGCAGTGGCGATAAAAACTTTGGCAATACTGTTAATTTATTGAAGGCTATAGCTAGTAAATATTTAACACAGCCCCAAACATTTTAATCTACTTCCCATTAATATTTTACCTAATGGTTTTTCTCTCATATAATCAATATTTTTAATGCTTAATATTTTCATTGGTCTTCAATTTGGAGAGATGGAAAAGGAATTTAAGCTTAAGATATGAAATTGTATCTACAAACTAAAGAAAAAGTTAAAAATATCTAAACCCCTTAGGGAATGGAAAATCACTCTATTCTAAAACGGATGCCATAAATTTTATATTAAATGAACACTGAATCATAAATGTTTCTTCTTTCAACTCTTTAATATTCAACAATTATGTCTCTCCTTAATGTCCTTTGGCATTAACTTTAATTGACCTTGGTTATGTCAATTAGAAGCACTTGTATTATTTATGGGTTTTTTATGAATTGTCTTTATCAGGTCTGTTGGGTTTCAGGCCACTTGCTTCATCAAATCCTCATCTTAAAAGTATTGGGAGTTTTTAAACCATTCCTAAGACAATAAAACACCTACTCAATCCCTATATGTTCATGTAGGTGGTAAACATTTTCTGTAAAGGACCAGATAGTAAATATTTTAGGCTTTGTGGGTTATGTGCTGTCTCTGTCACCTCTTCTTCTTTTTAACAACCTTTTAAAAATGTAAAAACTCTCACTGGGAAGAGTGTTAAAATTTATGGACATGTTTAAAACCGCCGTACTTTCTAAGAAATAAGCAAAAGGTCAAGAGACCTTTTTTCTCAGAAGGAAATTTTAAAGTTTCATAATGGCTCAGGTGATTCCAAAAGTTTGGTCAAAATAGAGAATTGTGGTCACACTGTTATTTTGTAACTTTCTTTGGGCTGGTCCTGAAGGAAAAATGGCTCCTTACATAGTACAACTATGATGGTGCTTCACTGCATTCAGACTGCCGGTTTTACTAAAAGGAGGAAACAGATTACTGACCTCTCTGAGTGTGCAGATTTAATACCATTGGATATTGTGTTTTCGGTTTGTCCCCTGAGCATGCAAATGGATATCTGAGTCATAGAAATACAAGTGTATTTGAGCGTCTATGGTAGGCTAAATAATGTCCCCAAAGATGTCTGCATCCTGAACCTGCGAGTGATACTTTACAAAGGGACTCTGCAGATGCAATTAAGGATCGTGAGATGTAGCCGTTATCCTGGACTATCCAGGTGCACTTTAAGCATAATCATTAAGTGTGCTTAAACGAGGGAGGCGGAGGGAGCTTTTACTCGAAGAGAAAGTAGGAGAGGTGATGGTGGGGCAAGAAGTTGGAGGAATGCAAGGAAGAAGTCACAGTCAAGGACTGCAGGTACCACCCAGAAGCCAGAAAAGCCAAGGAAAGACATTTTCCCCTCAGAGCCTCCAGAAGGAAACTGCCCTGCCTACACATTGATTTTAGCTCGGTGAAACTGACCTCAGACATCTGGCTTCTAGAGCTGCCTGAGAATAAATGAGTTGGTGGCACTAGGTCACAGCAGCCGTAGGAGACTAACGTAACAGATGCTCCTATACACATTCACGGAACACCTGGCTGGCACAGTTGTTTGCGCATGACATAAACTGGGGTGACTTAAGGAGTTTCCTGTAATTCTCTGAGGGTTAAAATGAAACTGTTCATAGTAGTTGCTAAATCAATGTAAGCTAAATATAAGTTAAATAAGATATATGTTAAGTAAATGATTAGAAAGTAGAGGACAATAAAGGCAATGGTGAAACCAGAGGGGGAATTGGCAAAAGCTCCCAAAAGGAAAGGGCGCAATGAAGCAGGGTTGAAACTGAAAAGGCCCCAAGGGAACTGAGAACAGATTCTCTCCAGGGAGACGGAAGGATGTATCTCAGGGCTCCCTAGAGGGTGGACGAGGCTCTTCCAGCACTTGAGTCAAGCTCCCATTATGGGGCAGAAGGATAAGGTGTGGCATTTATTCATCCAACCCTGAGGACTCATCATGTTCTAAGAATGTGCTGCTCCTGGGGACACACAGTGAGCAGTGTCTCCAGTCCCCAGCGCACGGACAGAGGCAGGGTCGGCCCCAACAAACACACATGGAGGCAGAGTCTTCTTGCATACCCCCCGCAAGTTAAAAATTAAGTTTCAATTTATTTTAAAATCAGAATATGTTAAATGCCAGACTTCTAACAGTAATGCTTTGGAGTTACTTTTACATCTTGACTAATAAGAAGATAAAGATTCAAGGGGAAAACATTCAGGTTCATGACACTTAGGCGTCTTGCTGAATCTTTGTTTCTATCATGTGTGTATCAACTGTCTCCTAGAAGTGGCAAAGCAGAAGGCTCAAGAGCATGGATTCTGGAGCAGGAAGCTGGGTTTAAATCCTAGATTTTCCATGAATTAGGTTTGCGACTTTGGACAGAAATCACGTACCAGGTGCCTCAATTCCCTCATTTGCAGAATAGTGAAAATAACAGTAGCTACCCCACAGGTTCTCATAAGAACAGAAAGGGTTGATGACTGTAAAGCACTAACAACATCAGCCCACAGGACAGGCTGCTGCATGTTTGTTGAGTTAAAGTATTTAAAACGCCTTTAAGACTCTGGAGTTCCTAAGAAAGCACATTCATACTCTGTAAATTGCTTAACATTTTCAGAGGACAACATTTTCCTGCTTGACATTTTCCACACTCACTTTCCAAGAGTCCCCATGACAAATTTCCACTTACTATTCAACAAATGCAGACAGAGCTCCTTCTGTGAAAGCCAAGTGAACCCGTATGTTGCAGGAGTGTCAGTAACATGGACAGGAAGGGTTTCACAATCTGTGAGTGAGGAGAAAGCTTGTGAGTACAATGGGAAATGAGGTACTCCTGCCACTTCTAAATCACTTCAAACCCTTTCAGACTGACATAAGTGCTGGGGATGTGAATCAGAGCTCTTATCTCAAGGTGGGGAGGTGAAACACTCACTGGCTTTGCCAGTTGGACAGAGCTGCATTCAAATCCTGACCCAAGCCTTCCTAGAGACATAACAAGCAAGTTAATTCAACTTTCTTGATCTAAAAGGGAAAACTTTGCCACTTTGGCTGAATCCTAAAATAGGCATCTATATGCAACTCAATAATTTAGTGCATCATACCTATCCTTGGCTAAGAGTCTCAAGATTGTATGTAGGTGGAGTACTGAGAAATTGGAGCACCTAGGGATCAGATGCACATATTTGTGCTCTCCAGTGCTACCTCAAGCCTGTCTTTTGTGAGCTTTTACTGGCCAAGTTTTCTGCCTTTACTTTTGTTTAGCCTTTAAGAAATTGAGAGCATTCAGGCATTTCCTCTGGCAAGTCTAGCACATAATAAAGGGAAGGGGCATAAATACTTTCCAGTCTCTGCAGTGAAAGTGCATGTGTAACATACAAAAAAGCTGTGGCTGGTCAGACAGCCCTTGCCAGTCACAAGGTCCCAGGCACCCATCTCAGATTTCACTCCCTGCTGCTCCCACTACTGATCCCAAAAGGAGGAACTGACTCTGCAGGCAACTAAAACCACAGTCATTTTCTTCATTTCCTATGTGAAACTCCCACTCCTCACCCCCTCCACAGACACATCACCTGTCCGGGTCCCAGGTTTATCTCACATCCATGGAAAGTGATGCCTGAGAGAAAGAGCTTTTTATTTGTCTTTTAATTCTGGCCTCTTCTTAAATGAGACAGCTATTTAGAAAGATTTTCATGGTGTCAGGTTAGTTACTTAAAGACTCTGTAACTTTACTCTGGATATAAAGAAATAGGGAAGAGGGCTGGATTAGGATGATTTCACTACGGTACATCTTTTTTATTTATTTATTCAGTGACATAGCTGTATGTGGTATAAATCAGCATAGGGCAAGCGTGATTATCCATATTTTACAGATAAGAAAACAGAAAGAAAAGGCACAGAGAGGTTAAATGACTTGCCCAGGGTCACAAAGCTTATTAGTAGCCAACCCAGAACAAGAACCTAGGACTGAAGACAGCAGGGGGTGTTTTTCTCTGCCACACACTCTTGATAATCAACATAATCAAAACCTATTTGGAGGTAAGTGGGTCCAATAAAGTAAGTCCTTGCTCCTTTTGTTGGGTGAGTTTGAATTGACCTAGGTATCAAATTTTTTCAAGTCTCGCTGTATTATTCAGTTACTGTATATTGTTTTTTTTTTTAAAGCAATGCTTATAGCTTTTAGATTGCTGATGTGCATTAAGGGAGATAACTTTGGTAGCTATCAAACAGGAAGTCACCCAGGTGAATCTGGGACACTGTGAAATTTAGAAGCAAGACCAGGTACGCACTTTAAGGATGCAAAGAATGGAGGGAGCTGAAGGGAGACCAAAGGGTTTGCTTTGCACTCTTGGTTTTCCCTAGAGGAAGAGGAAGCCTTCCCATTTTAGACCCAAGGGGGAGCCCATTCGTCAAGCTCAGAGCTCCATCCTGCCTGCTTCTTTACAACAGCATCCTGTCCCCACTGTGACATACTCTCTTTCTTCTACTTTTGTCCTATTGCGTAAGTGACATTTCTTTTAGTCTTGCTCTAACATCCTAGGACCAACTCACAGTGTCATAAACTGGTGAGTGACCCTGGGCCCAGAGGTCTGGTGGCTCTTTCCCTATAACTAAATTAGGGGATAACTCTGATGTGACCATTAATCTCCTCTGCTCTCCAGGTAAAGAGGCTGAACTCCAGGACAGTACGTAAGTAGGAAAGCAAGTGAGGAATCTCGGCAAATTCTGAATTCCCAAAGCCGCACCACTATATTCTTCCACCTTGTTTCCTTGGGTCTGCGCCGGGAAAAGTGTGTCCTTGTCAGCATTACAATGACCCCTTCCATCCCATGAAACTAAAACTGGAGAGACAGAATATTGCTGTACTATTTGGGGAAATTTTGCCTGGTAGTTGGTTGGTTTTGGTTTTGCTTTGAAGTCTGGAGTGGCTGATGAGGGGATGAATGAATAAATGTTAATGTCATAAATTATCCTGTGATTGTTAACTGATCATTTCTCAGGGGGATCTGAACTCCCCAGGGAACTCTGCTCAAGCTTTCTTAACTCTTTTGAGACACCATCCAAAAATGGTGACCTGGCTAAGAGAACCTAAGAGCTCCATGCCATTCTGCATATTCTTCTGGACACAGCTCTACTCATATTCTGCTAAAGCTGGTTGAAATTTTAAGAAGCCCAACCCCGTTATAAGGGTTTTGAAAATTTTTTTCACTATTCATAGCTCACAATACGGTACAGGATTTGGGGAATAAACATTTAATAATAAGCCAGGGCCTGACCAACAGAAATACACTCTTGGGCCCGGCTGATGCAGTCAGAGATAGATGTCATTTCCTAAGATATAGATAATGAGAGGGATTTAGAAAGCAACTGCAGAGTGAAGAGCAGGGAATGGTGGGGACGATTTGGGAAGAGCGGCGCTGGGACCAGAGGCATAGAGGAAGACACCTATAGACATCTAATAACAAGAATGGGGGTCCCCTAGCCGAGAAGGAAGGAGTAGTTTAGACTTGATCTGCTTGTACCCACAGACCAGTTAGTAAGGACCCAACTCTCCCAGGGACCAGATTTCACAGCAATATAAAATTGGTTTGGAAGGAAAAAAGTCTGACTTATTAAAGAATGTCCGGCTAAGTTATGTAACTCAGGTGACTATAACTCATTTATTTGAGTACATATTTTATAGATGATTATCAAACTATAATAACAAAGGTCTTGTACTATAAACTATAGTTGTGATTTGAATGACTTCCCTGAGAAGGACGTGGAAAGGATCCCATATCTCTTGCTAGCAGCTCCCCAGGTCAGCATATAAAGAAATAAAACATCTTACATCCTGGTTCACAGTAATGGAAGGGATTCCAAGTAAACATGGAGTCTCCTATCTGAGTGAAGTATTGTTAATTTATTAATATCAGTGCTTCTCCTAAAGATGCTATAAATTAAGGACCTTCTAATGAATTTTTTTAACCCGTGAGTGTTAAAGAGTTGCCTGTTACAAATCAAGCTTAATCCTGTCCTTGATAACATTGTGTCTATAGACTAATTTTTTTAAGGTGGAGTATAGTATACCTCAGCAGATTTTCTTCCTCACAAGTTGGAATAATTCTTTAAAAAACAGCAAGAAAAATCATGAAAAGTAGCCCAACCAAATACTCATTTCTTTACTTAATGTTGCATTGCCCAGCAATTTTCTTCACTGTCATTTTTTCAGTGGAAAAATACCTGGGGTTCATCTACTGAAATTCAACTGAACAGAGTAATTTAAAACGAATCAATAGGCATGGGAATAATCAGGAAACGCTTGCCCTCGCAATACAGCATTTGTTTCTAATTACCACTTCATCAAGTCCCAGTTACAAATTAAGTCTCTTTTATTTCAATTAACAATTTAATGGTGCTTTAGGGAGATAAGTAATGTTTTAAAAAGACAAACCTCTGATAAAGCATCCCCAGTGCTCTCCCAAAAGAAAACATGATAAAGGCTTTCAGCTGTGAAAAGAAGCCTGGGAGAGAAGATCTGTGGACTGCACTGTCCACCATGGGTAGCAGATAATGGCCTTTGTTTGAATGCCCCCCCATCTGGGACCCTCTCTCCTATTCTACTGCATATATCAGCTCTGATCTCCTTCCGTGGGGAACGGGCCAGCGAGCCAGCTGGGCATCTATCCAACAAGTATTTATTGAGCACCTACATTCTACCAGGCATTTAAGCTAGCTCGTGAGGATACAGGGATGAATAAGATTCAGTCCCTTCTCTCAAGAAGATTATTGTTTAGTGGTACAGACAGATGTATAAAGTAATACAGAATATATGCTTGTATGTGTATGACTGAAACATTATGCTGTACACCAGAAATTGACACAACATTGTAAACTGACTCTACTACAATAAGAAATAAATAATATAGGTTAAAAAATAAAATAACAACAGTGTAATGTGTCTCAGACAATAACCAAATAAGAATAGCTATAAAGATTGCTAAATTCACTTACTGTGTTATATCGTTTCATCCAGAAGCTTTTGAATGGACAAAGGAATACTTCACACACACACCCTCTCCTGGGCGTGATGTGTGATGTGTATGTGAGGAGGGTGGTGAGATGTCTGATACCACTATAGGTGACCACAAACTCTAACTCTCCAATCCATAAGGCCGAGCTTGTTACAAATTTTTATTCCAACTCTGGGCCATATGATAAAGTCACAGAATGTTAGGACTTCAAGGAATTGGGGAGTATGTCTAATTGACTCTCTCATTTCACAGATGAGGAAACTGAGACCTAGAGAAATCAAGTCACTTGCTTGGGAAGACAGAGACAATCACTGGAAATCCACAGCAGAGTTCGGCTTTCCTAACCCTCAGCCAGACATTTGTCTGGCCTTATCTGACTTGACCTCCCTGCAGGCTCAGGACCCACGACTCTTGTTCTCTCTCTCCTGTGCTGCTGCCGAAACCTTCCATGTCAGCAGCCACAGCTGCTAAGCCACGTTAGAAATCTGCATTTTTTTTTAAATTAGAGAACTGGAAGGAACAGAGAGACCCAAGATAGAAATCCATTCTCAAAATTCTCCTCAAGAACTGAAGCTTCCTTTGAAGGGTGTCACTAATCTAAAATAAATGCCTACTGGGCATATTGTAGTAAAACATCTTTTGCCTGACCCATGGATGGAGTATTAGTTTCCTATAAAAAATTATCACAAACTTGATGGCTTATAACAACAGAGATGTATTCTCTCATGGTTCTAGAGAACAGACATTTGAAACTGGGATTGCTGGGATGAAATCAAGATGCTGGGAGAGCCCCTAGATGCTCTAGGGGAGAACCTGGTCCTTGTCTCTTCCAGCTTTTGATGACCACTGGTATTCCCTGGCTCGTGGCCACATCACTCTCCTCTCTTCCTCTGTGGTAACATCTTCTCCTCTGCCTCCCTCTCATTATATTACACATGTGATTGCGTTTAGAACCCACATGGATAAGGCAGGATAACTTGCCGTTTCAAGATCCTTAACTACATCTTCAAAGTTCTTTTTTATCAAAAAGATAACATTCACAGATTTCAGGTTTTAGGATGTAGATAACTTTGGCGGTGGGTAGGGGGGCATTAATTAGCCCACCACATACTGGTCATTCATTCTTCAGTCAGAGATCGTGACACAGTTTCTTGCTTTTGCCCCGTTTATCTTACACATAATTACTGTGCTTGGAGATTTCAGGGACTTTTACTAGAATGTTTCTTTTGCTACATCTCCAAAATATCTCAGGGTGTTTTTCATAACCTGTCATTGATGATTTTTTCCTAAGAGTTTGGCTATCTATCATGGTCAGTGCTCTGAGGTCATCAAAATCACCTTGGAACTGGATAAAAAATCAGGAGGAGGCATAGAGAGATCTGCGTTTTACACGTTAGGAAACCTTTGTGGTCCCTGATGTCTGTTTTTAGAGCTGGAGGTAATCTGCTGACAGTGACTGCTGCGTTCAAGGAGTCAAGTGTTCTCACTTCCATCGCAAGTCAGATAAGACAGCTGGGTGCCCCAGCAGTCCTCACTGACTCACTGTCAGGCGGATCTGCGCTCTCTGTCAACTTTTCAATGTTACAGACTTCACCAAGTAAAAACTCCCCTTTCCCTGTGTACAGAAACAAGAAAAACTAGTGGATGGAGATGACAGCCAGAAGTCCTGTGCAAGAAAATAAACATGAAGTGCCCTTTTGTGCCTCTGAGAACTCCTGCGCTAGAGATGGACCCCTCGGGGTCTCTTGCCGGGTTGTCCGCTTCTCACTGGTATGCGCTGATATGCCGGCATACAAGGCAGCTTTGTGGTAGGGCCAGAGGGCCCCACAAACCATTACGCAGGAAGCACAGAGTTCAGCAAACAAGCATGCAGGAATAAGCCTTAGTACTGGTCAAGGGCCTTGGACTGAGAACCACTACGAGACAAGAGAGGCAACCACTTCTGAGACTGGTTTCCAAAGCGGGGTGACTGGGTTCCACCCACACAGGTGACCTCTGACCCAGTTCAGAACAGAGCTAGCCACAAGTGACAACTACAGAGAGGAAGTTAGTGAGAAAGACAGAGACCCAACCCTTTATTGACAGCATTAATCCCTGCACCTGGGTTACCCAATTTCCTACTGACCTTTTCAGCGTAACAAACAAGCTCCAGTCCCCCCAAACAGAGTCTACAATAAGTTCATATGCATTCGTGGTAACTGAGCTCAGGCTATAAACACTTGGTGTTATTTGAATTTCTTAATTCCTCAGTGGATGTATCTGCAAGTTCACTGACAGCAGGAAAAGAAGTGCCAAGGACTTTAGTTAACATTTCTTTGTACAATGGAGAATAAAGAAATAAATTATTTTTGATATATCTACCTTGTCCTCCAAACATGATTGTGGGCCTCTTTCCTATAAAAATTCATTTCTACACAAATAGTGCTTAACCTTTTCTCGAAAGGTAAAGATATCACATTCTCTTTTCTCCAGCCCAAAGATAACCATATTTCCCTCAGATTATAAGTAATTTAGATTTAACATTCTTCCAAGAGGTTTTCAAGAATTACAAATGGTGAGGTTCTGCTACTATTTTTATTGAGAAAAACGACAAGCCATCGAACCAAGAGAGAAGAAAGGTTGAAGGTTGAAAAGAGAGTGTGGTACATAGAAAAAGCATATTGGAATGACTAGAAGCCTTGGTTAATTGCATGACCACAAGGTCTGAGTATTCATGTCCTAATAGTTTAGATATAAAATAATATTGAACTTGCTGTGTTGTACAGGTAACACTTCCTTGTAAATAGGAGACTCCATGTTAGATGTTATTATCCACGTGGCTTAGTTATGATGGAGAAATGTTCCTCAGCTGCATGGGGATCCTATCATAAACGAGTAGATTAGATCAACATTTACATTCAGGTTCTAGCCTGCCCGTACTTTTCTTGGCTCCTTTTCCAAATCAAATGTGGCAGCAGTTGTGACTGAATCAGTCTAACTGCTCAGACACCGGCACTGCACCCTGGTCTCTTTTCCAAGGCCAACTGCTGTCACCGTTTATTCTCATCAGCACTGGCTACTGTCACTGAGCGCTTGCAGACAAATCATCAGCACATCCCTCAGAGGGCAGCTCCGCAGTCAGCACCCTACCGTAAACCTCCCAAGCCAGGAACACTTTCCCGGTCCTCTTCCCTGAGAAGCTGGAGAAACAAAACAAGATGCTGAGGACCGGGAACGAGGGGCTTCAAGTCCTGCTCGTTTTCTACAGTTCGTTTTATCCCCTAAAGGGATGAGGACTGCTGTCACTGCTGCTGTGACCCCTCCTCTCTTTAACTGGGCCCAGGACAGATGGGACGCAGTGTACGTGGCCTTATCAGTGGTTGAAACACTGACATTCTTCTGTAATGGTTTGTAAAGAAGTACTGCTCACACACCGCCCAGGTGTCAGCCCCAGACTTCCCAAGTCCCCCCTTCGTTTCCAGCAAGGAAAAGGTCAGCCCGGCACAGCAGGGGGTCTCCAGACCTTCTGGGCGCCCTGTGTGTTTGTGAATAGTGATTTGAATGCCAAAAATGTAGGTGCATCCTCTTTGGCTTTCAGGATAACGCTGAGAATTTCAGGATAATGGAGAAGATCTATGGCTTTCCATTTGAAAATGTTTAATTTTCATTCAAGAATAAATATTGATCAAGAGCTTACCATGTCGCCGGCATCATTCCAGTACTAGTGATTTTTCAGACGTGTTTCTTACGGATTTCACAGAAGATCATGGCTCAGTCTACCTGGAACTGAAGAAAAAAAAAAACTTGCACAGATATTTATAAATCTGCTATTTCCTACCAATTATGATAACTTCCTGTCACCATGATGAACCACATTCATTAACAAATGAGGTCAGAGGACACTTTCCTAGAGAACACTGACTCCTTCATCCATGAAATCATACTTTACTTGAACTTATTGTTTTGGAAAGTCTGGGTAGTTTAAAATGTCATGTCTTATAGTATGTGAGGAGACAGGAACTTAAAAACTTCCTATTTTCCACAGAAAATATAAAATATAGCCGATGTAGTCCAAAACAATTTTAGGGAACAAAAAGATAGCCATTATCCATCTACTTGTCAACACTGCGTTTGTTGCTTCCTTCAACTTAGATCCTTTGTTCAAACTCAGAAAGCTAGAAGGATGGTGATAAACAGATTTAATAAGTCTCCTGCCTGTCCACATATTTCCCTCTAACTTTCTTGTAGTGTTGGATTTCTGCAAGATGAAACCTCTTTTAATGCTCTGTCACATGTGGGAGGACACTTTGTGACTTCTCAGGTGCCCCCACATCCTAGGCATCTTTGGAGGTCCCCAAGTCACTTGATAAGATTTGTATACAGCTCACACCTAGTTAATACATGATTAAATTAAGATCCAGTAAAATACAAACCAAATTGGCTTTCTATCCACAAAAACAAGGTTACAAGTATGACTTAGTAAAACCGGCACAAAGGGAAAAACAGCTTTGTCACAAAGTGTCAACTTCACAATGAGTCACAGACTTTCATTTTGTTCTAAGATTGTAAACATCCCAATAAAAGAAAGTTTGGAAAGCTACAGAAAACAACTGGACTCTGTCTCTGTTCTCAGAGAGGACTTAGTGATCAAAATTATGTATATGGGAGAGAAAGAGAGACAGAGACAGGGACAGAGAGACAGAGAGAAAATGGAGAAAGAGAAACAGCAGCAGAAAGAGAACACGCGCACTCAATGAGTCTCCTTCAGATGAGCCTGGTTTCCTGAGTGTCTGTGGAAGCAATTAATCATGGATGACGACCACTACGTGATTTCCATTGCATTTTAGTCAAGACGTTACACAACAGCTCTAAATATTATCATTTCTTTCTATCTGACCACTCAGGATATGCCTTCGGACATGAACAATTCTTCAGTCATACTCATGCTTTTCATCACTGAGGATGCTGTGCTTTGGCTCTGCAGTTTCCAGGGTGCTCTCATGTCCCCCTACAGCATACAGTCCTCACTTCATAGTTACTGGTAGGTCTGTCTGGGCTGATGATCAAGCCACCAGTAGGCACAGGTGGCTTCTGGGCTTCAGAGGTAATGTACCAGTTGAGCTCACCCCGGAGCTCAAGGCTAGAGCAGGACAAGGCAGGACAGCTAACTCGCTGGGGGGTTTCACCAGCCGCAGCATCCTTTGCTGATTGGACACTTACTAAGAACCTTCAGATTCAGACATATAACATCATTATGCAAAGCCTCTCAAAATGAAACATGGTCTGAAGTTTTTGCTTTAGAGTCAGAGCGTGGCTGGTATAGTAGAGTTAAGAAATAGGTACATTGATTGTCTCCAACTGCCAGCCTAGCAGGACCAAGAAAATGGCTGCACTAAAATTGCGTTATGCCACCACCCCTTCCAAATACTCTGTGCAGCCAAGGCTTTCTTACCTTAGTTATAACCAGTGCCCCTGCTCTCTTCACAGAGGACTATAAACATTAAAGAATCATCAAGAATTTGCAAGCACAGGCTCATGGAAGTGTCTAGCAGCAATATCAAACATTTTCTGGTAGAATGGGAAAGAAGCATATTTTATCGGATTCTAATGACTGCTGAGAGCCTGACCAGATTGTGACTGGCTGGCTTCCACTCACTGAATTACAAAGTCTCCCAACTGGAGTACGTATCTTGAGAGCATCTGGTTCAAATAACTAACATTGCAGATGAGAAAACGGAGGTTCTGATATGTTTAGTTACTTGCTTAGGGTCATACAAGTTTACCGCAGTGTCAGTCCTAGAAGCCCAAATGGACCTCTAACCCAGAGTTAGTACCTCAGAAGAGGGTGGTAAAGATGTCACCGTGAGTCTTGATTGACTGTTAGAGACCCCGACTGCCTGGCAGGGAATCCTGGAGTAGCTGTTAAGAAGGATTTTGGAGTCACATTCAGGCTTATAGGAAAAGAGCTCCCAAGGTCAAATACAACTTTTGTTATGGGGAGAAAAAAAAGGAGGAGAGGCCAGATGCCACATGTTTCTGATGCAGGCATGCCCAATTTTCTTCCTAGTCATCATCAAATGTGTTTAAACTATAGATGATGGTTGTAGGAATTGGTTTTATAAGATGTGAATGAGAGGGACAGCAGAGATTTTAATGAGAGGGACTGTAATTGTGGACTTACAAATGGTGATAAAATATTCTCAGGTCAGCAAGTGCCTACTCTTTGCCTCAGCCTGTGCCAGGAACCATGAGCGCTACCAAGACAGTAGAAGACAAACCCTATTTTTCAGTAGCTTGTACTGCAGTAGGGAAATCACCTGGCCCTCCTGATGTTATTATGGCAGCTTTATAGGAACATAGTGCTTTATATTTGCAAAGTGCTTTCAGTGAATTTTCTTATTTTATACATACAGGGCAAAGGAATACACAGGCAAGTGCTCAATTTTGTGGCACACATTTGTAGATGTTTTGGGGAAAAAAACCCTTTGAAGGGGCAAGAAAGAGGAAGGGAAGTTTGTTTAATAACTTCTAAAGGCAATAGATATAGTACTTTAAAGGATCTATTAATGAATATTTCATTCTGATATTCAAATGGTGGCTTCTGTCAATAAAAAGTGACAAGATGGAATCAGTAGGTTTATTGTTCACATTTCACTTCTTAGAAAACTGCTTTTAAGTTCTCTTCATATTTCATGGTGAGTTGCCTGGCAATCCAAGCTTTGGAGCAGTACAACGCCTTTAGAGTTGTCAGCATGTCTAAACGAGAAGCCAGAGTCCAAATCAAGCCGTCCAAGTATTATTTTAATCATTCCAAACCTCCGCTAGACCAGTTCTCTGTGCTGCTGCTGTCTGCCTTTCACTCAGTGAACAGAGAAAAAGAAAACTCAATCAAATCTACTTTTTATTTATTTTCAGTTGGACGAGAAAATTCCCTACTGCCTGAAAAGCATGCAAATACTAAAATTCAACATGGAATGAATTTCACCAAGAGTTACCACTGTGATCTTTCCATAGCCAGACTACCACAAGAATGGATCTGCCACTGGTCACTACCTCCTCAAGGGGGTCCAGCAGACACGTGGAGTACTTTTCCTGGGGCTGACGATTGATTATAAGAAATTGGCTCAGACAGTTATGGAAGTGGAGTCAGCAAGTTCAAAATCTTCAGAACCAATGTCCCAAGATGCTATAGAACCAGGAAGAGCTTTAAGTGTGAACAACTTTAAGCAAGAAGAATCAGTATTTTTGTTCCGCTGTTACCAAGCATTATCTCTTACTCAGGGGAGGGTCATTCAGGCCTTTAATTGATTGGAAGAGGCCCACACACATTAGGGAGGGTAATCTGCCTTACTCAGTCCACCAATTCAAATGTTATCATCCCCAAACACCCTCCCTATAGAACCGAGAAACACTCAGAACAATGTTTGACCAACTCTGTGGGCGTCCTTTGACCCAGCCAAATTAATCATAAAATTAACCATCACAGAGAGTATAGCGTGTATATGTGACCATAATATCCACATACACACGGAAGCTGCCAGCTGGATATAGTAACAGATGATCTTTTGACAGAACAGATTAGGCACCAGCCTGAAGATGATACTCTGTGAAGACAGTGAAGACTTCATGAAGACTTAAATCAATGATCTTTACATGGTGCTGTGTTTCCAACAGGTAGACTATCTGGGTGCAGAGACAGGAGGTGTTCCCAGTGACCTACTTCAAGAATCTGTGCTTCCTCTCTCTGAAACTCTGGGCATGCTTTTTGGTTTAGAAGTCCTGCTTTCTGTAGGAGTGATGTGTCATCCAGGGATAATGAAAGACTCCGATTAAACTTTATATCATGGCTGCCTTCTAGTCAGACTCCTTGTACCAACAGACCAGCAAGCTAGGAAAGGAACCACCTGGAAGAAGTAACTGACTTTGGTAATCAGGTGTAGGTAAGTCTCCTGCTGGGACAAGAAACCCCACATGGAGGCAAGGAAGAATGTATCAACAACCCAGTAATCCACTGGAGCATCTCTTGGTACCACCTGTTCAACTTTTATGGTAAAATGAGTAAGTGTAACTGTCACAATATGAAAAGGCAAGGTAGTCAAGAGTGGGTTGGTGGAGGAGACAAGTGATGATTATCAGTTGAGTTCTTAGGCTAACTCTAGAAGCAAAAGTAGATTTTATCCCAGTCATCTTTCAGATTTCCCTCGGAAAAGAGACTAACCAGAATCCTGGAGGGGCAGTTCCTTGATAGGGTGAACTTGTTTACAATGATCTGAGCAGCACAAAGGGTGAACTTTGGTAGATGCTGTGGTTTGAACGCTATATTCTTCCTTCCAGCCTGGCATACTTAATTTCCTCACAGGGCAGGACTATGCCTACTGTCAGCTCATAGCTGAGTTCCTTACCAGAAATTCTCCTTGGCCAACAGCTCTCTACCCTCTCTACCCAAGTGCAGTGCTTATCTGATGACTGGTCAGTTTGGGAGAAAGGGAATACAAAGTCCTGGCTCCCTTCCCTCAGTTCAGGACAAATCTGAAAGGCCATCTCAACACCAGAGCTGAGGCTTTTGTTATGACTATATCATAGTTCATTTTCTCCCTCTGCTTAATCTTGCTTCCTTCACCCGTCAAAGATACTGCTCCAGACAGTACACCCTACCCCAGTAAACTTCCTGCTCAGAGATTTCTACCCCAGAATCTGCTTCCCAGGAACTTGACCTAAGACAATAGGACAGATCAGCGATCCTTCAAAGTGGCCTTAATTTACTTTCACATAAAGTCATTTAAAAA